GTGACAGGTGACCTCGCATGTCCCACGGGGACACCCAGCCACCGCTGGTCTCCAGGTCAGTGGGAAGTGGCAGGTGTAGTTCTTAAATAGATTTTAAGTAGTTTTTAGTGGTTCTGCTCAGATTATTGCGATCGACTGTTTTACTCCATTTGAACGCAATAACCCGAGGTGTACTGGTATTGTACAGCATGCTAGGGGGAGGCTTAGTATGTCAGTAGACTTCACGTTGGGGACGCTCGACGTTAGATAGTCTGGTCACAGGGGTGGCAACAGTTTGGGGTTGTTGACCGGCGGAGATGCTAGGGAGACACTCTGGGTCACGTAGGTGGCTGTAGGTTAAGGGTGGGAGTAATGGTTAATTATGTACTTAAGATTAGGAAAGGTACAGTTAAGTGAGGCTAGTGTTTGTCTATTAGTATTGATTTTTTTGTGTGGGACAAGTTAAAAGTAGTGATGACCTTATTCTCTCTTCTCTAACTTTACTCTGTTACTGTTTTATGTTCCACCAAGTCAATATCATTCAGAGTTAATTGAATTATTAAAAATTGAAGTGTAGTTGTTGCCAGGAGGAGAGCGGTATGATAGGACTGTGTAACCCTATACAAACGACAGGGTCACACAAACATCTTGGGAACACGTATTGTCGCCTTTCTGTTCATTTCACAGGTGGGAGCCAGAAGAGAGGAGAGACGCACATACAGAAGAGGGAGACGGCTGCCTTATACCACACTCACGGCTGTTCCTCACCACCACCACGACCAGCCCACTACCTGGAGGTCATGGCTCCACCACCACCACCACCCCAGGGGACCCCAAGACGCAGCCCTCTCGGTCGGTCAACATTGGTCTACCCAGTGGACCCCAGGTCGTTCTGCAGACGACCCCAGACGACCCAGTAATGATGGAAGAGGAGCAACAACGACTCCAGTCTGTCCCACCAACATCGGTCTACCCAGGATGGACCCCAGGACGGACAGACCCCCAATGGACCCCAGGTCGCTTGTCAAAGACCCATGGGAGGAGGAAGAGAGAAGAAAGAAAGAAAGAAGAGAAGAAGAAGAAAGAAGAGAGAAGAAAGAAGAGAAGAAAGAAGAAAGAGAGAAAGAAGAAGATAAGCCAAGCTGAGGACACGATACCTAGTGTCCCTTGCTGGTGTCAGCATTATTGCATGGAGCGTAATTGCAAGACAGGATCGTTTGCCTTGACTGGCCGCCCCTCCTACAAGCATGTTGCTCTGTTGAGTGATTCTTCCTGTGTCATGCGGACTTGATGTGGCTGTCAGAAGTAGCTCTCTGAAGGAGGCGTGCTGGAGCAACAGGGAGGAAGAAGAGTAGGATGGGATTTCTACTGTTGGCAACTATATGAAGGTCTCGAAACTTGTAGTCCCTATAGCTGTGAAGAACCCCAATATACGTCTCTCATGGTGACTGACGTAGGGCCAATTACAGATCAGCTGGGACAACCGAATTCCACGGTCCTGTGCTCAGTTCAAGTAGTAACGGCTTTCGGGTTGACCAAGTGTTGTTGTGCGTTAACGACGGAGAAGCGACGGAGGCAGTTGTGTTGAAGAAATGTGGTACAGGATTATCTACAAGACCAAGCAGTGACGTCGCCCAGCCAGAGACAATGGACGTCTGTCTACATATTTCATTTTTTAGAGTAGGATGATGTATATTTGTTTAGCTAGGATGTATTTTTTTTTTCGTTAATAAAGTTGTTGCACACAGCTAGCTTGCTTTAGCAGTGTTGCAAAAACTTTATTTCGGGGAGAAGGGGAGATGTAACACTGTAAAAGTGTTTGGGTTAGTTTATTTAAAATATATATAGAATATGAGTCACAGACGGATTTGGAAAGGCGCCAGTTGTCTGCCTGAGATCTCACACCTCAAAGCGTTAATGACCTCAAGTGACCTGAGGTCAGATCATGAGAATTTCACCTTGCTTCCGCTAAGCTCTTAATTGTAGTCTGGTAGCCTTCAAACAAGCCGACGTTTGAGGAGTGGCTTGGTAGTGCCGGAGGCTATCTACTTGTGGGCGGAGTTAGCTACTAGGTTCCCCAATATAAACTCGGAGAGCTATCCAGCATGAAGCATTAACAGACAGAACAGCAGACGAGAGCAGAGACGTCCCTATCAGGGAGGCTGTCGGCCGGCAAGGGCGGGAGTCTCTGTCAACTACAGACCCCCCCCCCTTCTCTATTCAACTTAGACTCAGTCCTCGGTGAGTGAACATTAAGGTGACTTGGTCGTGTTTACGTATGTTGTGTGATGATCAGGGGCAGTCAAGTTGTAGGGTTCTCGAATTCTTGGATAATGACTCTCTTTAACATTTTAATTGAATTGCTACATTATGATACTTCATGTGAAATATAATTATGAATTTATTATTTAAATTGTGTTTAACTTTGTTCCCTAGAGCTTTGAGTTGAGGTGAGAAAGCCTCGGTGGTTACTAGATTCAAGATATTAATGAGTACTTGTTTGGAGTTGATACATGGTACAGAGGGAACATACTAATAATGAACTCATGATAACATCCTTGGAGAATTTTGTGATACAGGCAAGTTCCATTCCTTGTCTTGTATGTAATGATCATGAATGGATGGTGGCAGCATTTCGTCTTCTACTATCTACTCTTCTACTTCTACTATCTACCGCCTCTGGGCTGGCACTCCACAGGACTGGCACCCCACAGGACTGGCACCCCACAGGACAGGCACCCCACAGGACTGGCACCCCACAGGACTCGCTCGACAAATGAATGAAGCAAGAAAGAGAGACAGCCGAAGGCGCAGCCTCCCCTACACTACATCAACTTCTTATCTATCACCTCCCTCTCAGCTCCCCAGCGATTACCTTACGACCACTCAGCGCCAGACACAACAGCTTTATTAATCCGCCACGCTGAAAGTGTGTTCATTTTCACGCTCGGCGGCTGTGTTTACACTCGCGACAATCAAGTGTTAATGACTGGGTTTGGTAAGTGTCACTGTTAAATGGCAGAGTCGACCTCAGATGATGACATTTAGACTTTTCTTTCCTACAAACAATTCCAGAAATAACGCGATATAAGGCGGGATGAATTCAGCCCAGCGGGTGTTCTTGCTGTTAGGGGGAGTTGTACATGCTGGTATGGCGGTGTGTTCACTCACAGGATGAGTGGCGGGGTGTTCACTCGCAGGATGAGTGGCGGTGTGTTCACTCACAGGATGAGTGGCGGTGTGTTCACTCACAGGATGAGTGGCGGTGTGTTCACTCACAGGATGAGTGGCGGTGTGTTCACTCACAGGATGAGTGGCGGTGTGTTCACTCACAGGATGAGTGGCGGTGTGTTCACTCACAGGATGAGTGGCGGTGTGTTCACTCACAGGATGAGTGGCGGTGTGTTCACTCACGGGATGAGTGGCGGTGTGTTCACTCACGGGATGAGTGGCGGTGTGTTCACTCACGGGATGAGTGGCGGTGTGTTCACTCACGGGATGAGTGGCGGTGTGTTCACTCACGGGATGAGTGGCGGTGTGTTCACTCACGGGATGAGTGGCGGTGTGTTCACTCACGGGATGAGTGGCGGTGTGTTCACTCACGGGATGAGTGGCGGTGTGTTCACTCACGGGATGAGTGGCGGTGTGTTCACTCACGGGATGAGTGGCGGTGTGTTCACTCACGGGATGAGTGGCGGTGTGTTCACTCACGGGATGAGTGGCGGTGTGTTCACTCACGGGATGAGTGGCGGTGTGTTCACTCACAGGATGAGTGGCGGTGTGTTCACTCACAGGATGAGTGGCGTTACTAGTACTGTCACTATGGCGGTACTCACCTAGTTGTGCTTGTGGGGGGGTTGAGCTTTGGCCCTTTGGTCCCGCCTCTCGACGGTTAATCAACTGGTGTACAGATTTCTGAGCCTATTGGGCTCTATCATATCTACATTTGAAACTGTGTATGGAGTCAGCCTCCACCACACTAGCTACTCTGACACTGAAACAGTTCTTTGTAATGTCTCTGTGGCTCATTTGGGTACTCAGCTTCCACCTGAGTCCCCTTGTGCGTGTACCACCCGTGTTAAATAATCCATCCTTGTCAATTCCCCCGAGAATTTTGTATGTGGTGATCATGTCTCCCCGGTGTGTCCACTCACAGGATGAGTGACGCTGCCCAATACTGTCACTATATGGCGGAATATTTCTGAGCACCGTCACTCACAGGATGAGTGACGCTGCCCAATACTGTCACTATATGGCGGAATATTTCTGAGCACCGTCAATCACAGGATGAGTGACGCTGCCCAATACTGTCACTATATGGCGGAATATTTCTGAGCACCGTCACTCACAGGATGAGTAAACTCGCCTTTCGCGGGGAAAAAAATTGCGAGAAGAAAAACAAAACAAAGTTTACCTCAGAACGCTACGCGGTTTAGAAAGTAAACTGAGGTGCGGTTGGGGAAGAATGTGCGTCTAGTCTACGTGTCCCTGATGGAAGGATAGTTGACGCTTTTTAAATGCCACCGTCGAACCGCATTCCGTCACTCGGTTATAATGAAGGTTTCCCCAAAAGAGCGGCCGTACAAACGAACTTTGCATTCCTGGCATACCAGGAACACCTCGGAGGACCCCTGTGAGAGGCTAGCCGCACTCGGACTTCTCATTGGCTGCAAGTTTACGCGCCCCTCCAATCACAACCCACTATTTCCCCAGAGGCTGAGCATGTCGGCGTTGTCACTGTACAACGTACAGCTTTCACAAATCAAAAATTCGGAACCCACACTTATCGACTACCAAAATACATTCATTCACTTAGAACCCTAACAGGATTCTACTACAACTACAATGAGAAATATATTATACAATAAAATAGATTCATCATGCCAGCTTAGAGTAGTTTTCTTCCATTATTACTTTACTACTCTCGCTCAGGTGATCGAAATGATGAGTAAAAATCTCCAAGTCTTCGTCAACTGCCGGTACTCGACCAAGACTTTAACTTCATTGATGAGAACACAAGTGGGTTGTCGGCCGTCCAGTGAAGGTGTGCGCGTCTGACAGGCAGCGCTACGGAGCCTGTGCTCGAGTTCGTGACCTCCTCCTCCTCCTGAGCTGTGACAACCAGTGTCACCTCCCGTGTACCGAAAGCGGACTGTCACAAAACATTGACCAAAAAAACAAACACTTATTTTGAGTGGATTTACATATATATATTTTTTTTAAAGTGTTGGTATTGGCTGTGAAGATCGCGTTGTATAGTGTAGTATGCGAGATATGACTAGTATGGCGGTGGTGATGCCAGAGAGAGATCGGCCCTCACCCAAAGTGTGGCAACCATGGTATATGGAAGGTAAGCTCCTTAATACCTCAAGGTTTCTTTTCTCTCTCTCTAATATATATATATATATATATATAAATGTAATGGACTTAACTCTGTGTATCATTATAAACACTTGCATCTTACCGCTATAGTGCTTCTATAATCACGCATATCAACCTACAAGTATTGCTTTGTACATGTGTAATTTTGTGGAGTTTAAGATAGGTAGGTAATGTTTGGCTGTGAAGGTCAGTGTTGCTGTGACGGGGGATTATCTCGGGTTTTTATACGTGTGTAGGTAAACACCGGGGTATTATTGATGACCATATCACGTGTGTGTGTGTATGTGTGTGTTTGTTTTGGCCTAATTGTACTTCCGTGGATGAGTTTCGGTTCTTTGGTCCCGCCTCTCTACTGTCAATCAACTGGTGTACAGGTTCCTGAGCCTACTGGGCTCTATCATATCTACATTTGAAACTGTGTATGGAGTCAGCCTCCACCACATCACTTCCTTATGCATTTTTTTATCTGTTAACTACTCTGACACTGAAAAATCTTTCTTACGTCCCTTTGGCTCATTTGGTTACTAAGTTTCCACTTGTGTCCCCTTGTTCGCGCAACAACCATGCTAAATAGTTTGTCTTTATCCACCCTGTTAATTTCTCTGATAATTTTATAGGTGGTGATCATGTCTCCCCTAACTCTTCTGTCTTCGAATGTCGGGAGCTTTAATTCTAGTAGCCTTTCATCGTAGTTTTTACCTCTCAGCTCGGGAACCAGCCTGGTGGCATACCTCTGAACTTTTTCTAACTTCGTTTTGTTTGACTAGATGTGGACTCCACGCTAGAACTGCATACTCCAGGATTGCTCTGACATATTAATTATACAATGTTCTGAATGATTCCTTACACAAGTTCCTAAAAAGCATTTCTTATGTTAGCTTGCCTCACATACGCCGCTGATGATATCCTTTTGATGTGAGCTTCAGGGGACATGTGTGATATCAACCCCCAGATCTTTCTCCCTTCCTGATCCCTGAAGGATTTCATCTCCCAACTGGTACTTTGTGTTTTGCCTCCTGCTTCCTACATCTATCTTCAATACTTTACACTTGATTGAGTTAAATTCTAGTAGCCATTTGTTAGACCATTCCTTCAACTTGTCCAGGTCATTTTGTAGCCTCATGCTGTCCTCCTCTGTCTTAATCCTTCTCATAATTTTGGCCTCATCAGCAACCATTGAGAGTAGTATACCCACTGGAAGATCATTCACGTATATCAGAAACAGGACAGGTCCGAGTACAGAACCCTGCGGGACTCCGCTGGTGACATCACACCAATCACAGGTCTCAACCCCTCCCCCCCTCACAGTAACTCTCTACTTCCTGTTGTTTAAGTACTCCCTTAGGTAATCCCCGTGTGTGTGTACTCGCCTAATTGTGCTTGCGGTGGTTGAGCTTTGGCTCTTTGATTCCGCCTCTCAACCGTCAATCAACTGGTGTAGAGATTCCCGAGCCTACTGGGCTCTATCATATCTACATTTGAAACTGTGTATGGAGTCAGCCTCCACCACATCACTGCCTAATGCATTCCATTTACTAACTACTCTGACACTGAAAAGTTTTTTCTAATGTCTCTGTGGCTCATTTGGGTACTCAGCTTCCACATGTCCACTTTGTGCGAATACCACCCATGCTAATGTGGAATATTATGTGTGTGTGTATGTAATTACCTAAGTGTAGTTACAGAATGAGAGCTACGCTCGTGGTATCCCGTCTTCCCAGCACTCTGTCATATAACGCTTTGACTCTACTGACGGTCTTGGCCTCCACCACCTTCTCACCTAACTTGTTCTAACTTGTAAATGTGTGTGTGTGTGTGTGTGTGTGTGTGTGTGTGTGTGTGTGTGTGTGTGTGTGTGTGTGTGTGTGTGTGTGTGTGTGTGTAAATCAGGAAGAAATTAACACGTGATGAACAATGTGACAGTGTCAGACCACGAAGGAAGATTTAAGACAGGAATTTCCTTAAGTACTTTCATATTTCATTATACATCTTCAGAAGTACTGAAGGAAATCCCTGTTTTAGTCCTTTCATCGTGGTCTGCCATTGTCATATGTACATATATTTATTTGCACCCAATAGCCGGAACGCACTACTTGGCATACTATGCAACGCTTGCTTTGCCTAATAAGCCGAGTTTTT